GGTAGGGAGGGAGAAAATGCCCGACATCACACAGGAAGCCCTAACTTGGCCCAACACTGTCTCCCTGAATCCCGCATTTTACCGCAGTGCATGCTCTATGTGGGCACCTTTGGATCCCATGATTGCATCATGGGGTAGCAAAATGCTTGACGCTGTCATGGTAACCCAAGCCACCAAGAAGACATGAAAGGTGTCAAATAGCAGAAATCTACATTTTGTATTTTGGACACTTAGTCTCGTAAGGTTCGAGATGGGAGAGAGAATCTTACACTTTAAACTGAAAAGGAATCCAGGGATGAGCTCATTCTAATATAAAGTCTTCCTATCACAGTGAAAACAGAATGCAAACTCAGAAAGGAGCCGAGGTTTGCCAGAGTTCCCGGCAGTCAGTGGATCACTGGATTGGAAACGAGATCTCTTGGCTTCCAGTAAGTCACTTTTCCCCAAATTGTGCTTCACAACACCAATTACACTGCGAGTCAGGGGGCGATCTAAGTGCTCTACAGAAACCCCAGGTGCAGCAAGAGTGACGGAACAAAAACAAAATCCATGTGACATCCACGCTAGTTTGGAAGCCGTCCTGTTGTACACAGGGGGTGACGCTGACGTGGAGAGGGAGGAGGGGAGCTGGCTCAGGTGCACGAGAGGAGAGCACAGCCAGGGCACAGTGCCCTGTCACAGCCCTGCCAGCCCAGCATGAGCCTTGCTGTCCGCCACGCAGCTGCTGGCAGTACCCGCCACCTCCACGCCTGAGCCCGGCCGCGGGCTCCCCGACAGCTGACTTGTAGCTGACTTCTTATAGCTGCTGCGTTTTTTATCTGAGAAGATAATAGCCACAATGACACAAGCAGTTGTCATTTCTCTGCCCTGACTTCCAAAATATCAAACAGTATTACCCATGGTCAAAATCCTCACTTGCTGTGTTAACTTATATCTCTTCTGCTTCGGTAGAATGAAATCTGCATTTCTTTACTATTTTGTCTTTAATCCTGAGTCTTGCAACTTAACCTACGTGTAATTATTGTACTTTAAAGTAAATGAAGCTTTTTGACTGCCCCAGAAAAGCTTTTGTGAGTTCAGTGTAGTACAAAAGGTGAGGGAAAGTCACTATCTGCACAGGAGGGTTTAGAGACTGACAGCACACCGTAAACAGAGCTAAGACCAATCACGCATCTCTTAGGTCACTCATAACTGTTCTAAAAACTGAAATTATATCTCTAGTGCAGGAAAAAAGAAACACATTCGTGAGTATTCAAATGCAAAAAAAAATGTTATTTGTCTGATTCGAATCTTGAATTAGCTTGAAAAGGTTGTTTTCTGTATTATAAAAAATTCCATTGTTCTTTTAGAGTAGGTATTCTAAATGATGGAATAAATGCCAAACAGTGAAAAGGAAATCTGGAAATTTATTATAAAAATGACAGTTTTATCAATTTTCATGAATATCCATATTTTTTTCTTATTCAATGGATCCATAGTTACTATGACATCTTAGTTGGAAAGTGTAATTTTCAAAGCAGATCGTTTTAGTTTAGCATAGTTGGCTGTATATGTTGCACATTTTTCTTAAGAAGATGTTTCATAGATACGTAGTGAACTATATGCTGTATTTCATAGAACTTACAAAATTCCAAAAAAATACTTTTGAGGAAAAGAAAATACATTACATATTTAATTTTTACAAATGGACTTATCCAACTCCTTTGCTTCCTTGTAACAATCAATACATTTGCCTGAAATGTTTTGGTTTTTCCCTCACTGGAAAATACAAAAACAAACATTTCCAGCCCTTAACCTTAAACTAATTTAAGTTTCACAAAATAGTTCCTAAAAAGACTTCTCTCTTTTTTTTAATCCACTCATCATTGAATGGCATTTGTGAGCAAAAATGGCATTGATTCCCAGCAGCCGAGTGCAGGTATCCCGGGGGGCGTCCTGGGAGAGAGGGGCGCGTCCTGCCGTCACCCCTTCTCCCCGCCGGCCGGCGCTGCTGTTTGAGGGGAGCCGGGGTGGTCAGCACAGACGGAACAGCCCCCACGGGGCGAGCCCGGAGCAGCAGCACTTCCTGCGCAGGGCGTAGTCCAGGGGCTCCGAGGAGACCTGGTGCGGATGTCTGGCGTGAACATGTGGTAGGGAAACTGAGGCGCTAGAAGATCACCTCCCACACAATGCCACAGGAGGACCAGAAGCTCCGAGGGAGAGTGTTCAAGGACACATAACAAATCTCAGCATCTTATTAATACAAATGAGCAAAATCGTTACCTCCTCAGCTGATTGTGGCACCATGCAGTTTTCTTCCTAGTCACTATTTTTTAACTTCTAAACAGAGACACTCTGTGTTCTGTACTTGCCATGCTTCTATTTCTAAAGAGAGTCCGTTCCGGCTGCGGGCTTGCTGGTCGCGTCCACCCCCTCCCCAGGGAGCCAGGCGCACCTGCTCTTCAACGCCGGCGGAAATCCCGTCCTTGGGAAACCCCCTCTGTAAGGCTGGTGGCTGGGTCCCCTTCTCCTCTTCCTGCACCCTCAGCATTGCAAAGCCTGCAGACCTTGCACAGCCGCCGCCCGAACTGCATCCTGCCACCAACAGAACATCTCGACCTGGACCCCCAAAGTGGGGAGACGACCCTGGGTGCAAAACATCCTGCCCTGACTCCCGGAGACAGACAACAACAACAGCTAGCCCCCTGTAAAAGCTAACTCGCAGTCCTGGGCAGTGCGAACTTCTGGGGCCACTGTTCTGGGACCCTTGAATCTCGCCCGGGAGCCCTTTCAATAAATGCTATGTTTGTTAGCGTCTATTCCGTCTCATTACTCTTCTTCCGCCACCACAAAACTTACACCCTCCTCAGAGCCTGCCTGGCTGTCTGTCCTCACACTGCCTCCTGTGTCTCTGCCTCCACGGCAAGTTAACTTTTCCTTGGGGACAGTCCTGTCTAGGACAGCCTCCCATCCCCCACCCCGCTGCACAATGCTGACCCTGACCTAAAACCACAGTGTGGACCTGGTCATGAAATCGTCTGTGATGGTGTTTCGTTTTCTGTCTCTTCATGGGACATGAGGGACCCAGTCTATCTTGTATCCCAGCACCTAGAAGGATTCCTAACACAGGGTGGGTGGTCAGTAGTTATTCAGCGAATTAAACAATGGATTCTGCAACTTCCCAGGGTCTTGACACTCCTTCCAGCGGAAGCCTTTCTCCACACCATCTGCGGGGCCGGCGTGTCGCTGCCCACTCGGACCCGTGCCCGAGTGACGAGACCTGTGGCCAAGGGTGCAGAGGACTGAGGTGGAAGCTGGGTGTTCGAGTCCCAGTTCTGCCTCTCACTACAAAGAGCATTTCCTGAGCGAGGCTGGCTGTCTCTGCCTCGGTTTCTGCCCTTGCAAAAACTCACCTGCGTGATCTAACCAGGACTTCTTAACAACGAGGTGAGAGAGAAAGTGACCTTCCCTGTACCGGATATACAAATTTAAAGTACAATCATCGAAAATGAATATAGAGAAGGAAATGAAATAATGAAACAGATCGTAACTGCTGAAAAGGATTAAAATGCCAACAAACTGCTGAACTCATTTTGCCTTGTCGGCTGACTCATGGTTCTTTACAAATACTTCTTGAGCAGGAAGTTATTAAAATATGAGTAACATTTTGTACACTCTGTTGCCAATTTCCGCAGAGGCAGGGGGGTTTGAAAGTTTCAGCTGTCTGTGGTGATTGGCACTTCTTCCTGGCATCATCAGGAAATTCAATTGCTTACTTTCTCTTACTTTGCAAAATGCCTTTCCTCTCCTGCTAGGCTAAGCCAGATCAGAACATGTCTGCAAAACTCAGGTTAAATAGCTCTGGAATATTTTGCTAGGACAAAATGACTCTTTATCTTTTGCCTTATGATAATCCTGCTTTTGCTAAAACAGATTAAAATCCAGATGGAGTTTAGTCAGTTCACGGTGGGATTTCAGTATCTTTCTAAAAGTACATTTTCATGGGGATGTGGGACCTCATTTGTGTAAATAGTGACAGTCCTGTCCTGTCCCTTCGGGAATACCTAAGCCGCACACGGCCACTTCCCTGGCACTTCTCTTTGTAATGTGCTCAAAACTTCCTTCTGCTCTGGCAATTTTATCTCTCTTTCTTTGTCAGCTTAAATGTTACACATGGATCTCTCAAATGTAATGTGCCTAGAATGCCAATGTATAATTGGTACTCAATTATATTAAATGGTACTCAATTTGTGTAGAAAATTACAGTTTGGGCTAATTTACTATCAACTGGCCTAATTCCAATTATATTTCTATGTTTATTGATTCAAGTGAAATTCCCTAATGATTTAGGCTTGCACTGCATACATTAAGAAAAACATCCATGTCTTTTCTAGGCGCTTTAATTTCCTATTTATGACCATAATTTTTATTTTTTGCCTAGAATTTGGGATCCTCTTGGCATGATATTATTTGCCCCTTTTCAATTGGAAATCATCATAATCACAAAACTGGGTCCATTCTCAAAACCAATGCTAGTGATATAAAATGGGAAGACACCAGCATACTCCCTGATTTCTACTCGGTGATGATAATGACATACAGCATCTAAAAAACCATTTTCCTTCTATTGCAGGAAGTGACAAAGGCTTATTCTGTGGTAAACACCCTAATCTGTACTTAGAATAATGTATTTATTTTTTAATGGTCGAAATTATCTCACTTGAACAATAAAAACCACATGGACAATGTTATCTGGAAAATGAAACAATGAAAAAGTAATTGAAATTGGTTTCTCATTATAAATCCCTTAGCTAACACCTCTATTAACAAAATAACAATATCATCAGAATTGTGCAGTGCACGCAATGAGTTGATTTATAAACTTGCTTTTCTCCCATTAAGTACATAAAAATACAGATATCATGCCTAAACTTCTGAAAAGCACATGAACTTTGGAACACATAGTGAAAGCTAATGTTCCAGACACTCATTGCTGCAAAACAAACCTTCCCAAAATTTACCTGCTTAGATTAAAGACCATTTTACGGTGTGTCTCAGATTTTCATGTGTCAGGAATTTGGCCAGGCTCCTCTGGGCGATTTTTCTGTTCCACGTGCCTTTGAGTGCTGTTGTTCAGCGGAGTCTGGAGGTGGGTGAGGGGCGGCCTCAGAGCCCAGGGCTGTGCCTGGAGTTGTGGCGGGAACAGCAGGGCAGCCTGGGCTCAGCTGAGACGGGAAGGCAGAGAGAACTCGCAACGCCCCGCTTGAGGGTCTCGGGTGTGGCTTCCTCCCTCACCTGGGGGTGGTTCCAGAAGGGGAAATGTGGAAGTCACAGCTTCTTCATGTCTGCCTGTGGAACATCACAGGGGGTTCCAATCACACTCTATGGATCGCTCTCTCGTCCCTCTCTCCAAGACTCAAGGAAAGGGATTATAGATCCCCACGCTTGTGTGAACTGTGGAGAAAAATCTAACCCGCAGTTCTGCTTCTGTAAACTCCGCTTGCTCAACCCTACTCCCTTCCCCCGCTGGCGTCCCTCGGCTCGCTCAACCCTATTCCCTCCCCCGATGGCGCCGGCGCCATTCTGTAACTCCCCGAAAACCGCTTGCCGTTAGTCCTTGGAGTTTATTGACCAAGATTAGAAGTTCCCAATATTAGCCCATCTGGTACATGTTTGTGCAAGGTCAAAGCCCATGGAATCTCCCCCCACCCTGTGATCCCTAGCCACCTGCGTGTGGTTTCTGCCTATAAAAATCCTAAGGAAAAAAAGGCCGGCGCGGCAGCTTCACTAGCTAGGTGGTGCTGCTTGCCCCTGCGCTGCGCTGGAAAATAAATCATCCTCTTGCTCTTGCATCAAGTCTCTGGACTCTGAGTCTTTTTGAGCGGTCGTCTCTCCCCTACACGGGCTGTACATTTCTGCGGCCTAACAGAACAAAGGACTGCGATGTCCACTGGGTGGCTGGAAGTCGGCCCTGGAGCTAAAGCACAAAGATGTCCACAGGCTCCGGGGCCAGGGGCTGGGACACACGGTGGCTGGATTCCACGGGGAAAATGGCTAAATGTGTGCAATAGCTTTTCTTAAAAAAACCCAAGTTATATCACATTTACAGTTATAGTTTTGGGAAAACCAGCGTCTTCTCCAGTTGGCGTGTTATGACAATTCTTTCCCACTGGAGTCGGTCACTGCTAATCATATTTCAATCCATGAGAAAAGCAAAACAACTCAGTAACCATCTAAAGTACATTCTTGAACGTGTCAAAATGAGGAAAATATTTAAAACTTTTCATCTGTGTTTACTCTAAACCTTCCCAACTTTTTATATTTTTTAGAGACAAGAAACCCACGTGCACAATTTTATCTGCTTTTCAGCTTTAAGTATTAATAATCTTGTTACAGAAAGCGTACAGCTAGTGTTACAGCTCTTTTTTTTTTTTTTTTTTCTTTTTTGAGACAAAGTCTCACTTTATTGTCCAGGCCAGACTGAGTGCCGTGGCATCAGCCTAGCTCACAGCAACCTCAAACTCCTGGGCTCAAGCAATCCTCCTTTCTCAGCCTCCCAAGTAGCTGTGACTACAGGCATGCACCACCATGCCCGGCTAATTTTTTCTATATATATTAGTTGGCCAATTAATTTCTTTCTATTTATAGTAGAGACGGGGTCTCGCTCTTGCTCAGGCTGGTCTCAAACTCCTGAGCTCAAACGATCCACCCTCCTTGGCCTCCCAGAGAGCTAGGATTATACGCGTGAGCCACCGTGCCCGGCCTGTTACAGCTCTTGACCTACAGCTCTTGGCCTGGGAAAGAACTGAGCGCACACGTGGAGAGTCGGAGAACAGTCTTTATTCCACCAGCAAGCTCAGCCAACTTCTGACTTCTGACCCCCCTTCCTTGCTCTCCTGTTTTTTTACCCTTGGTAGGACTCAAAAAGCGTCCAATCAGCAACAAGCTTTAAGATCCAATCAGCAACAAGCTTTAACATCCAATCAGCAACAAGCTTTAACATCCAATCAGCAACAATGGGATTCAAAAAGTATCCAATCAAGATCGCGCAGCCAGCTCTGCCAGAGGACAGGAGCAGGCAGCCAAGCACCAAGTGCAGGCAGGACGGGCGTTAGTATGCCCCAGCAGCATGCACCCTGCTGGCCGCAGCCTTCAGCCAGCCCCGCGCAGCGCTGGACCGTGGGGAGGTGGCCAGCGGCTGGGTCCCGGCTCCCGGACGGTTTTACCAGTCAATATAAACCAGAGTATTATGCATAAACACAGCCCTGGGTAAACACTATTACAATCTGATATTAAAATTTCAAAATGTTGTAAAGGAAGGTGCTTTACAAATATAGTCAGTAACTTTACAAGGTTGTACATAAAATAGTTGATTTTAACAGATGGTGGAATATTAAAATTGGTGAAAGACAATGCAATTCCTGTGGTTTGTGACCTCCGGTTATTTTTGAGTGGGGCTCTAAGAAGATGGTCCTTTTCTGCATGCATTTAAAATCCTATTAACTAATTTTAAAGGCTTTCGTGAAACATACAAAAATCATGTTACAGCCAAAGACAGGCTAAAGCTAAGAGCAAACCATGTGGGAACATACGAAAGCGTGTGTGTGCTCAGGAGGAGCCGTGGGTTCAGTCCACTCCCGCTGCCGAGACCGCGTCTGGACCAGCCCGGCCTCACCTTCCTCAGCACCGTATGCCCAGGGACGGCTGATATATGTAGGGTCTGCTTAGCACATAATTGAAAAGACAGCTACCTGGAAAATAAGTCATTTCTCTGAACGGTCACTTTTAATGCTAAGGGAAAACATCCACGTAGGAGTTTGCCAGTCACCAAGGAGCCACCTGTGAAGCTCGTGTGGTCCCTGCAGCCACATGCTCAAGTCTAACGAGGTCGTTCTGCACACACGGACACCTTAGGATGCCTATTTGTACCGTGTATCTGTGCCTCGTGTCTGCCAACCGGGGCTCACTCTTCTGTTTCCTACTGAGCATGCGTTTGGAGTTTAAAGCAAACGAGTTTTTTCTAAAAAGAGTACAAAAAGGAGAGGTATGTATATTTAAAAGTCATTTTGCTTAGAATCTAAACAATTCGATATCAAGACGTTTTCACATACACGACAGGATTTGATTAAATTGACTTGACTAGTTTTATAATTATAATGTTGCAGCTAGAAAACTTCTAGAAGAATCTTCCAGCCCATCCTCTTTTTACAGTAACACAGAGATCACCAGCATGACCTAGACTGAGGCTTGGCACAGAATGGGGCTGGAGCCTCGGTCTCCTGACTTTGTTTTAATAAATGCAAAATACATGACTAATGGTGTAGATTTAGGATAAGCGTGTGGGCATCTGTTTCCCTGCTTATATCTATACTTTACTGTTATAGTATCTAAACAAGATCAACCAGACAAACAAACATAGTCTTCTAATTTGAAAAATTAGTATTTATATGGGTATGATAGATTTCCCTAGAAGTTAAAAAAATTAGCATGTACAAAGAGAACTGTTTCAATCTTTCCACATATAACTGAACTATAGGACATGTTATGCATTTAGGATAAAACCACATTCCAAAGAAAACAATTATTGATGCTCAGGAAGAAATTTCTTTGAGATAATACATATGTATAAGAGAATAAAATTAACTGCAGTAATGCCAACAATAAACAAAACTAACAGCCATGTGTATATGTATGTTCAATGCTTAGTGTATTTTATAAAAGTCTTTATTCATTTCCCACCGAACATTCATTCATGAGGTCTGAAGGCGTTAAGGTATACAAATCTACCTACCTCCCAGTGCATAAGTTTGCTAAGAATTTGTTATCCAAAACTCACATAAAAACTAAGTCGGGTACAGCCAGCACTTCCTCCGCCCCTGTTTTGTTTAGGTCACTGGCAGTGAAAGCTGTGAGACGTGCTCCTAGTCCCCAGGAAGCCTGCAGCCTGGCTGGAAAATTAAGACATAGACAAAAATACACGAAGCACAAGGTAGAAAAGTGAATTTTCTTCAGAATTTAGATGTCTACTGGCTGCCATAAACCCGAGCGTGAGCAGAAAGCCATTTTCCATGCAGGCAAGTTTGTACCCGGCCACCCGTGCCAGCCCACGCCTGGGCGTGCTGAGGTCCTCGTGCGCTGCTGTGTGCACCTGGTGGCTGCACCCTCATCCAGGGCCAGCGCCTCTGCCGGTCCAGTCTCCGCGGAGGTGGGGCTGTGCCGACCCACCAAGGCCGCCCCACGTCCTGCCTGCCGTGGGTGAGAGCACGTATGACCCCCAGCCAGGCTGGCCCTGCACGGTTGGTAGGTGCCAACTTCTGACGATCGTTCTTTCAAAGAAGCACGAAGCACGTCACGCAAAGCACCTGCTTCCATCCACGCACATCTGTGCAGGTGAGCATCTTTCGAAGCAGCTGCGGTGGTTCGAGGGACCCGGCGTCTGGTCAAAGGCAAAGAAGGAGGAGCGTTTCCAGCTCGTGTGGGGACGAAGCGAGTGGCCGCTGCTGAGTTAGGACAAGATAGAAATAGGTGGGGCTGGGACCTCAGTGGTGGTGACTGACTTGCATCTACAACGCGAAAGATTCCCAGGGATTGCTCCCGTCTGCAAGACGAGTGGGAGAGCAGGAAGTGTCACCTTTCCAGGAAACTGAGGTGTCCGATGTTCACATCATTCGAGACCAAATGAAATGAGGCTGTGTCTGCTTCCTGGACTCCCAGTGGCTCGGAGCACCCTGGCCCCGAGGACGCCAGTGGCTCAGGACGGTGGGGGACTGGGAGTTAGGCAGGGGACCATGGCAGAAGGGGCGAGGAGGAGGGGTGCTACTGTTGTGCTACCTTCTCCTGGAAGCAGCAATTGAAGCAGCCACACCATTTCATCACCTTCCTCCCTCGGGACACGTAAACATTGCTACCGTGTTTCCCCGAAAATAAGACCTACCTGTAACATAAGCCCTCGCAGGATTTCTAAGCATGTGCACAATAGAAGCCCTACCCCGAAAATAAGCCCTAGTGACGGGCGTAGCTATGCAGCGCGTCTGCACAACCCATGCATGTCGTGGCGGGGCGGGAAAGAAGACGAGCACCCCTTCTCATCTGCCCCGTGAGAGCTCTAGTACTCAACAGGAGAGATCGGGGCCGATGATTTCTAAAGGAAACAGAGTCACAAGAAATTCAGGATGGGATTCGGGGTTTGGAGAGTGATGATGACGTTCCAGAAGAAGACGACTTCACTCTGAATAAATGTAGATGGTTGTACTGTACTTAAAACAAATAACACATCCCCTGAAAACAAGCCCTAGGGTGTCTTCTGGAGGAAGAATAAATATAAGACCCTGTCTGATTTTCGGGGAAACACGGTAGTATCCGAGGCTGCATCAGTGTCGGGCACCGCCAAACTCCCGAAACCCTAATCTCTGGGGCCGTGTTCACGTCACAG